GCGAGAATGCTGATGTTATTGCTTGGGCCGCTGGTAACAAAACGGATCGGCTTGAAATCGGAAAGAAGTGAGACTGACCGACCGATCACCGATCCGGGCCGATCATGAGGAAAATCGGCCGATTCCGATCCCTGGCCGATCGATCGGTGCATCTCTAATTGATTATTAAATATACTGTATTACATTATATTGTATCTATTATTATTATTATATACAATATTTTGTCTTCTAAGGACACTATTTGTTGATTCAGTTTTTAACAACAGCTTGTCGATGGGGCAGCACCCTCAAAAGGTTTTCCATTTAAAGGGATACTACACCAAAAAATTACAATTTTGTCATAATTTTTCCCTCATGTCATTCCTAACCTACATGAAGGTTATAAATATATATTTGTGTTCCACAGATGAAAGAAAGTCAAGTTTCGAATGACTTGGGGGTGAATAAATGATGTAGGGCTGCAACAACTAATCGATAAAATCGATTATGAAAATCATCGACAACGATTCTCATTATCGGTTAATCGGGTCTGCCCACAGTGCACGTCCAACGGAGTTTACATACTTGTCCAACTGGAACGTTTGTTTTAAGGACATTGGGCAGAATGTGGAATAGTGTGTTTTTGTCAATAAAATAAAAAAAGAAAATTGTTTGTTTTTAATCAAATTAATCGAAAAAATAATCGACCAACTAATCGATTATCAAAATAATCGTTAGTTGCAGCCCTAAAATGATGACACAATTTCCATTGAACTATGCCTTTAAATTTACACCTTTTGAGGTTTGTTGTTAACTGAACAGTTTTTTGGTTTTTTTACAGTGTAAAATGGTCATGTAAAGAAAATGCAAGTAATGAGAATTTTCTATTCAGACAGCAGCATTCCGTTTTAAGGGTTGACAATGAAATGCATGCGTTCTTATGTTTTATGTAACTGTCCCTGTTATAGATGCAAAAGGATTGTCAAACCCATCAGAGGTCGAGGCATTACGGGAAAAAGTGTACGCTTCACTGGAGGCCTACACCAAACACAATTACCCCGATCAGCCCGGCAGGTAGTTCCCGCTCTGCCACCGTGATGTTTTATTGATGCCACAGCACTCCTGCTCTTCTTTATTTCATGGCAGACTTTGGCTTGTTATTAGTGTGAACAGATACAGATGTAGGTCATGTAGGTGTAGCGGTGGAGTCTGAGTGTTTTTTTTTCTCTTGTCACTCAGGTTTGCCAAGCTGCTCCTCCGTCTGCCCGCTCTGCGCTCCATAGGACTGAAGTGCCTGGAGCATCTGTTCTTCTTCAAACTCATCGGAGACACACCTATAGACACTTTCCTCATGGAGATGCTGGAGGCGCCGCATCAAATCACATGACACAAGTCTTACTGCGTGTAAATATCCCCCAGCGCACACTTAACCCCATTATAACAAAAAGAAGTTCTTATTTTGTACCAAGCACAATGTGAAAAACAAGCAAACACACAAAAGATTTGTATTGGTATTTTCAAAGAAAGAGACACCGTTGAAGAAAATTGTAAGAGTACTGTAAACCTTTATTTTGTACATAGATTTTACCATCTGTGATAGCTGCAGAAACTAAATGTGAAAATATTTAATTCAAAGCAAAACTGTATAAACAGTCACCAGCAATTTAGAATTCTGTGAAAATAAAAAAAGTCATTTAAAATGTTTTGTTGTTGCCTTATTTTGAAATAATCTTCAGTGGAAGAGATGCAGAGATGCAGATGCATTTTCTACCTAAATTCAAACATTCAGCAAAAAAGATATACAACTAAGAGCTGTAAAATAAAATTCAGATTCACCTTACTTTGTCACACATATTCTGTTATTATGTTCTCTTTATAATTTACTAATATCATATATTTATATATTTAATGTATATATTTAATTATAAAAAACATGAAATTATTACAATGAAAATTATGACGAAAAATAGTATGAATTCAATATGGGTTATTTTGTATATATTTTATATACAGTACACTGCCATTCAAAAGTTAGGTACGTTTTTTAAATAAATTAATTAATACTTCTATTCAGCAACAGTGCATTAAAAAAGTGTCAGTAAACATTTGTATGGTTAAAAAAGATTTATTTTGCAAACTATTATTTTGAACTTTCTCTTTATCAGGGATGCTGGGGGAAAAATGTATCATGGTTTCCACAAAAATATTAATCGGCACAACTGTATTCAACAGTGACAATCAGAAATGTTTCTTAAGCATCAAATCATTATATTAGAATGATTTCTGAAGGATCATGTGACAATGAAGTCTGGAGTAAAATTCTGCTTTGCATCACAGGAATAAATTATATTTTTAAATTTCCTAAAGTGCATATTCCAGGTTAGAGACCCCAGTGAGTCGATGTATAGAAAAATAATGTAGGAACTAGATTACGCTATTAAGGCTTCTGGGGTCGTTTTGTGAGAGAATTTTACTTCCACATCTTAAAACCGCCAAAACCGGTAGTGACGTAACGAGAGGGAGAGCGGTCCATAGGAAAACAATGGATCGCAATGACAGTTCGGACGCTGAGGAAATTTTAAATGTTTATTTACACTTATGACGGACCACAGATACAATTATGAGCCTGCTATGCGGCCAAGAGAGCAGGGACAGGCCAGGATTAGAAACAACGGTCAGAGGAGACAAATTGAGTTGTGTGAGGAGAACAAGGCAGGTGTCTTGGTGAGAGACCAGTGTTAGTTTACAGATATACACACGTTAGCTAACGATTTGTAATCAGGCAATAGCAAAGCTAGTACTGGTCGTCTATGAGTATTGATACTTACCAGTAACAGAAACTAATAAGCGTTGATCAGGCGTGTCACACTCGTTAATATTCCGACACTAATATATGCATTGATATATGCATTAACGGTTCTTATGGTATTTTCATACAAGGTTATATATTAATTTGAAGAAAAAAAATTTACCTGCAATATGTACTTTAGCATATAGAAGACAGTTAGGCCTATTTATATATTTAATTATAAAATATACAAAGATTGGTCTGCACTCTCTAGAATCTTTATTTTAAAGTAGGGTATAAAAACAGACATTTCGGCTATCTGCCTTCATCGGTGTCATTATTTCAGTTTATTTAATTAAATAAAAATATTTAATTATAAAACTATTTACTAAATAAACTAAAATATGAATACTAATTATCTAATGTGACATTGTTTTATATTTTTAAAAAAAAACGTCTATTGAGTTAGATCATGAGCCCCCATGCAGTAACTTTATGTAAGTGAGGTGTCATAGTGTTATTCGGGTCTGTCTGATTCTAAATCAATTAATCTGTGACTCACTGGATGGGAAACTACTTTTTTCCCCTGAAATTAAAAAGCACTTGTAAAATGTCTGGAGCAGGCAGGAAAGGAACACCATTAATGCGTTTCTCAGCAGGCATGAATGAAATGTGCTTTTTTCATCCGTCTCTGTTGTGTGTCTAGACTGATGGCATTTTTGGACCTGAAAATGCACTTTATGTGTCCATGTGTTTTGATAACAATGCCATAACAATACGTGGATAAATGATTTCTTGATTAAACAGACATACCACAAACTTCACAAAATGGCAAACATTTCTTGTTAAAGTTTCAGCCGTGATATAGCTGATCTGATTCAGTCAAATCTGATTCGCATGACATTTCGTGCTCATTCGTTATATTTATGATCATCTGTAGGGCAAAGTAATGGCACACAAAACACAGATATCAAACAAAAATGTTGATCACTGGATTTGACCCATACCAGGTCCAGAAAGAAAGAAAAGCAGGTGTCAGGTTATCACAGATTTTACCAAATCTGAAATTCCTGGACATTTATATATATTTAATTCACAATCCATCTCTGTACATAGGTGCCACTCATAAACTGACACTATAGGGGACAGATAGATAGATTTCTTTGCTAAACATCTGTTTATCACTATGCACTGCAAAATGTTGCAAATGTATGTAGCTGATAAGAAACCTCATTATTATTCGTCTTGTTCAAGCATGTACCACATCTCCATTGCCCCTTCATCTACACTAGATTATTATATAGTCACTGGATAGTCAAGACAAGCTCTTTATCTGGATTTTCATTGTACAGGAAGATTATACTTGAACAAGAAGCTTACATATCTATATATGAGCTCTCTCTATATATGGCTATTTTAGGGTATTTTATACATACAATCTCAGAAAAAAGGTACAAGCTGTCACTGAGGCAGGTTTGCCTTTTCAAAAAGTACTGTTAGGTACCATTTGGGTACTAAAGTGACAAGCTGTTGTACCTTTTTTTCTGAGCATACAGTATATATATATACTCTCTCTCTCTATATATATATCCAAAAGTTTAGGGCCAGTAAGATTGTTTTATTTTATATTATTTTTTTAAAATGTATCTTATCCAGCAAGGATGCATTTAAATTGATCAAAAGAGACTTTAACACTGTTGTAAACGATTTCTATTTCAGTTAAATACTGTTCTTTTGAACTTTCTATTCATCAAGGATCCTGAAAGAAATTGTATCACGGTTTACACAACAATACTGCTCAGCACAACTGTTTTCAACACTGATAATAATAGGAAAGGTTTCTTGAGCACCAAATCAGCAAATTAGATTGATTTGAATGGCTGAGCAATCAATAAAATGATGGAAACCTCAAAGTAGCTGTGTCAGTGACAGCTGGGGTGCAAAGATAGATACATCTGAGCTCTAACAGCGCTAGAACAACAGAGATATTGTGATGCGAGACTGATTGAAGTGGCCCAAATTGTCCTTAAATTCTTAAAATGATGTCTCTAAGGTTTTGCTTTGTTCATTTTCTCCCAACTTTGTTCAGACTGTTAACAACAACAACAACGTCTGAACAGAAAATCTATTGCCTTTGCTGTTGGGGACACGTGGACTAATGTGTCTGAATGGTGGGTGTCCCTGAGGCAATGTTGACTTTTTGAAGCGCATGACCAAACCAGAAGATTGAAATAATCGCTGCAGTGTGTTTGGAGGTGTGGTACACTGTTTAACATCTGAAAGACATTACTTCAGAACAAAAACCACTTCCCACAAAGAGGATGTTTTCTCTCTCACTTGAGTTTCTTCACAGCGCATGGTCATTTTATTGTGACAGGAGCTGAGAGAAAAGCCGAAACATTTATTACATAGCACATATAGTTTTTTTAATGACTACATTGTTGGATTTGGTTTGATTTGGTATTAGGAGGTCATTACGCCAACGTCCTTCTCAGTTCAGCTTATGAATCAGTTTTGGCAGCTATGTGAGACACATACATACCTTACCAACCACCCAAACAATCACCAAACACTCAAACGACCATGACCTCCTACATGAAACCAACTCTTGGACCCAATCGAGTGACTCAAATTTGAAACAACAGAAACCCAAGAGGCCTTTTGTCAATAGTACATAGCTTCATTTTCATGACCACATTAGAAAGGTCAAACACCATCTGTGTCAACTAAATAAAGTCTGGAAAAAGTGCAGGACCTCTGCAGTGACATGTTTTGGTTTCTCTGAATTTTATTAAAAAGCTTCATTTTGACCCATGAGCTGACCGCATTATGAACATTCATGCACTTAAATCCAGTATCAGAACCACTGGACACTGAAATTTTAATAGCCGTAATAAAAAATCAAATTAACCATTCATCCCATTTGTGGAACATTGAGATCCAAGGACATTTTAACAGAGGTCACTGCCACTTCTGTTTTGTCTGTCATTGCTGCTGTTGTCTAGCGTGTGTGTGTGTGTGTGTGTGTGTGTGTGTGTGTAGGAGGTTAGGCTTTACATCATCATGCTTTAATTGGGCTGTGGTGGTTAATTAAAGTTGCTAGTCAACAGGAGAAATCCAGCTGCCGTACAGTATAAAAGAGACAAAGCGCCTAACAAGGTGAGTTGAGAAAGACGCTTCTCTTTGGTAAGTCCCTCTCTGCATGCAGACGACTTTGATGCTGACAGACTAACTTCAGTGTTTTGTGATCATATTGTGTCTTTTTTTTTTTTTAGACATACAGGTGTTTTTATCAGTGTGGGCTGCTCTGTTGAGGGTTATCATGACTGGATCTGCTCTGGTTTCATTTCTCCTGGCGCTGGCCTGTGTTCTTCTGCCGCTGTGTGCTGCTCAAGGTGAGTCGGATCATTTCTGGGTCTGTCCATCTGGGTTCTGGTGGGGTTTTCGGTTGGATTCAGCTTGTGGTGTTGTGTGCAGGCAGCTGTGTGGGCAGATGTGGCGAGCCGTTCACCCGCGGACAGGTCTGTAGCTGTGACTACAATTGTTTTGTCCACGGCGAGTGCTGCAAGGATTTTGACAACGTCTGCACTGTTGGTAAGACCCTTATCATCTCACAATGACAATTATTCTGTATTACTAATTTACTTGTTTTTGAAATTTGAATAATAGTGAAATAATGAACGTAATGAAATTATGTAGTGAACAAAAATATATGTATTTTTTATTTTAGAAATATTTATGAAATTTGAATAATAGTAAAATAATCAAAACTATGAATTTATGTAGTGATCGAAAAAAAAATCTTTCATTTTAGAAGTATTCTTGTAATTTGAATAAAAGCAAAATAATCAAAACTATGAATTTATGACCAAAAAATATATTTTATTTTATTATGTTGGCTACTTGTTGATGCTTTTCTTTCGCTATCTGGTCTAATTCATCTATTTTATTTTTAAAAATTACTAGAACAATTGCGTGTATTTTTATAAATATAATTATTTAATTTTATTTATGTAAACAAAAGCCTTAATATCAAACATTTTCATGAGTGGGTCCAAACTTTTACAGTCACTGTAAATGTATTACTGCAAATAGTGACTAATAGTTTATTTGTTTATACATCATTTTTATATATAATTTCTATAATGAGTTTCTTCATTTTTAAACCTTCTCATAATATTATTTTATTTTACACTAAAGGAGGGGGAAAACGCCTACATTTTATTTAGAGGTCCAAATTGGACAAAAATCTCTTAAACTCTTAGTACGATAATAGTTAAAGCTTTTCTTTTATTGTTTTCTTTTATTTCATTTTTTTGATCAAAGCTAGTTTTAATTGTGGGGCAAAACGTAATGCAATGCAACACGATGACTGAGAGATGTACAAATAAATGTTCCTCAAAAGCCTGACGTATCATATTTGATTCTGACATTTTAACATGATTTCTCTTAATTAAAATAACGTTTTTTTTGCGCATTGGTTTGATCATGTTGCTAATTTAGAGGCCTTAGAAATGCATGTATCAAACAGGATGCAGTGGATTTGATAAGCTGCTGTGTGTGATTGGCAGGTGACTCCTGCAGGGGTCGCTGTGGTGAGGCGTTCCGGCGCGGGAGACAGTGTGAGTGTGATTCAGACTGCGTGCTCCACGACTCCTGCTGCCCAGACTACAGCATGCAGTGCGGTATGACACAAGACCACTCATGAACTACAGACTCAGGGACCCACAGTATAAAAACACTACCTATAATTACTTAAGTAGTAGCCTATAGGCTATAGTGAAGATCATTGGCTAATGTTCACTGAAATTTTTAATGATAATACTATAATATATGTGTAACAACGTTCGTAGATCGGGAAGAAGGAGGCGGGAACCGGCGAACATTTAAAGAAGATTTTAATAAAATAAACAAACAAAATTAAAGTAAAGCGGCAGCCCCTCGCGGACGACTGCCGCACACAAAACACAAAATAAAGTCCAGGCCTGGTCCTCTCTCGTCTTTCACTGTCGTCACTCCTCCTTTTATCCTTCCGGAGCTCCTCCGTGGGACTCGAGACCAGTGAGTGGTGCAGGTGTCGCGCATTATCAATTACTCCACCGGCCTCGCTCCGTTCCCACGGCTCTCGGCCCCACCCC